AGAAGCTCAACATGAGCTCGCAATGTGCACTAGCAGCCCAGAATGCCAATCGTATCCTGGGCTGTATCAAAAGGAGCGTGGCCAGCAGGTCGAGGGAAGTGATTCTGCCCCTCTACTCTGCTCTCGTGAGACCCCACCTGGAATACTGCATTCAGCTCTGGAGTCCCCAACACAAGAAGGACACGGAGCTACTGGAACGAGTCCAGAGGAGGGCCACGAAGAAGATCCGAGGGCTGGAGCACCTCTGCTATGAAGACAGGCTGAGAGAGTTGGGGCTGTTCAGCCTGGAGAAGAGAAGGCTCCGGGGTGATCTTATAGCAGCTTTCCAGTACCTAAAGGGGGCCTACAGGAAAGCTGGAGAGGGACTTTTACAAGGGTGTGTAGTGATAGGACAAGGGGCAATGGATTTAAACTGAAAGAGGGCAGATTTAGGTTAGATCTAAGAAAGAAATTCTTTACATTGAGGGTGGTGAGGTACTGGAACAAGTTGCCCAGAGAAGTTGTAGATGCCCCATCCCTGGAGGTGTCAAGGACAGGTTGGATGAGGCTTTGGGCAACTTGATGTAGTGGAGGATTTCCCTGCCCATGGCAGGGGGGTTGGAACTAGATGATCTTTGAGGTCCCTTCCAATCCTAACCATTCTGTGATTCTATGATTCTAAAAACTAATGAATTTAATTTAAATATGTTGAGATATATTGCAATTGTTTTCTTTTGATTTGTTTTCTGAATGTGAAACTTTCTGTATGTCTATTTTCAAGTTTTTTGCCGCAATCCTCAGGGGTAGAAGCTCATTTTAAATCTTAAATGAAATTCTGCAGGAAAGTCAGACTTTGGCAGAGACTAAGCATCTTTGAATGAAGATTGAGTATAGCAGGTTGGATGTATAACAGCACAAATGACATCTGCAATATTTCTTTGCCCTCACTGTCCTTCTGGTGGATGGCATTATGTGTGAACACTTTGCCTGTCCTGAAATACCTGAAAAGTCTGAAATGCCTCAGAAGATCTTTTCCTAAATGTGTTCTGACCCAAAGCCAGACACGGGAAATGCATTTTTAGGGACTCTTTCTTGGTGTCAAAGTCAGGCTTGCACATACAAAGAGATTTGTTTGCATCCTGCCTATAACTGTTATTCTGGATATTTAGGTTTCTTTACATTCAACTTCTGAATTTTCTGGTTTCTGAGAGTATTTTATATCTGTAGTATTTGTACAAAATTGCTCCGATGTTCATTTTAAGGTGTTTTATTTGGAAATAGGGACCATGTTTGAAATCAAAAAGCAGAACAAATTTAGTATAAGAGCAATGCTTGTGCTTTTTTTTTTTACTTCTTTCAGAGACATTTATATAAATGATCAGTGTGTTTGTTTTTTATATGAAGAAATTTGGATCTTTCCCACTCCAGAGGACAATGGTATCTAGTGAAATTGTAACACTCTGAAAATGTTAGTCTGAAAGCTAAAAAATTGGCGGGTGTTAGTTAAGCTGTTTAATGTTTTTTTTTTCATTGTGTTAATTTTATTAATTCACTTTCTGTGAATATAGAATGTTTTGAAGAAAATCCTTTTTTCTGAAAGATTCATCTCGCCTGCTTCTTCGTTCAAGTTATTAGATGGTTCTCGGAGTGTCTATCTCCTGATATTTTTGTGAAGTCCGCCAGAAAGGTGGAGGAACAGCCTTTTTGTCTCAGAAACAAATTTCCTCCTGGTATATTAGAGAAGCTCAAAACATGTAAATCTGTCTTCGGCTTCCCCTGTTACACAATATTCAGTTTTTCTATAGCAATGTACACAGAGCCTGCGGTCCTAAAACCTGGACCAATGAACTCATCCTGCAAATTAGGACCTAGGTAATTTGTATTTGTAGTACACAGGCAGAACACAAATACTGTCTTTGGGAATCTGAAAGCATTTGAGAGGAAATGAAAAGGGTTTAAATGGCAGATCAAGGCAAAAATACTGAAAGTTCCTCTTCGCCACCAGGTAAAGAGGACATGCCATCTTTTCCAAGGGAACAGGAGGGAGCTGATGAGAAGCCAGCAGAAGGTGCACAGGCAGATCACAGTGCCGTCCATGAGTATTTCCTGCTGTTATATAGTGGTTTCAATCCTGAACCTACAGTAGCTTCTGTCTTCTCCCACCACTCACTCCTTCCTTGCTAGTACGCGTTCATCTTCAGTTGCTGCTCTTGGTGTTGCCAAATTTCATTTTGACTCTGGTCAAAGGTGACCCCTTACAGTGAAGTTCTGGGCTGACCGCTGTGTCTGCGGTTCCCACTGTCCCTCAGCCCACAGTCTCTCCCTTGAAAATTTTTGCTGCTTAGACCTGTCTCTGTAGCTAGTACTGCAATCAATTTCTTAGCTCCATCAGTCTCTTGCAGTCAGAGACCTGTATTTCTCTTTTTTTAACACTATTTACATTTTGAAACGACTGTCCAGTGTCTCTTTCAGATGTTTTGCGTGCCATCTAACACACTAAATCTAGGTTGCGTGGATAACAAAATCCGTTAGTGAGTCTCCTGTGGAACTTTGGAAAGATTTTTGATGCTTATATTGGTGCATTACGTTCAACATTTGTTTGATCTTCCTATTACACCTTTTTCCTGTTATAGAATGTGTTTTTTTCCTTCCCTTAAGTTTTAAAATATGTTTTTTTGAAGCAAGCTTCTCCCTACACTCAATGCTAAACAGCAGGAAGTCCATTGTTGGGCAGCAGGGATTTTTTTACTACTACACAACTATGTATTTATTTAATATGCACGTATGAGCAAATTAGTCAAAGGAATTCGTACCTAAGAGAGTAATCCCAATTGTTCCTTTGCAGAAGAAAGCAAAACTAGTCTTCCAAAGGAATCACCAACTGCAGAGGAACAGGAGGAAGAAGTGGAACAAGTGGAATCAGACAGTGAGAGCATTGGTGAGTACTGCTTTCCACTGAGGAGATGTTGTCATGACCTTCAAAATCTCACTACTTTCTAGTTTTAATTTTTTCACTGCTATTGTTATGAACAGCATCTCAGACCAGTTCCATCAAGTTGCAGTTATTAAGTTTCTCTGCTGCTGTTCAGTTAGCTTACCTTGCTTATGTCATTTTGCTCTTTCCCATGGCTGGTCTCAGATTCCTTTGGTTGTTTTTCATAGAACACCTAGGAGAGAAAAAAGTCAAGACAGGGTGAAAAGCTTACAAAATAGGTAATGGGAATTTGGTCTGAGGTATCAAAAGTATGAGGTATGAAAAGTACTTTTAGTAAGTGCTTATGACTAATTGAAAGTCAAGTTGACAGCATTCTGCATTGCAGTCCAGTGAAGAACTGCACTGGCTGACACATGAGCAGCATACCTTTGGAGGATAATGGTGTCTTACGGTGATCTGTTGAATGTGTTTTCACGAATCATTTTGTAGAATGTTGTGCATTCAATAGCTACTGAATAGAGACACTTCAAACTTTATCTGGTTTCTAAAGCTGAGACCTAAGCGCCAAGCAAAGCTGAACTGAACTACTTTGGTAGGTCTTAAGTTTTAAAATCAGTGTTTCTAAAACATTCTCAAAATGTTTCTTCTTCAAATTATTCGGTTTTGAATGTTGACAGTAAAGTTTTTAAAAGCCTGAGGGAGCACTTATTACAGACTGTTCCAGGACAAGTTGTTACTAAGACATGGTACCCCTGTTTTGAGCTACAGAGTGCCTATTACTCTGCTGAAGGAGGCCAGGAATGTGTGAGTCCTTCCTTTTTGCAGTTAGGTGTAAATATCAGCAAGGAGCCTAAAATTTAGGATGAATATAAATTTCCTTTATGTTCTCACTTCTGAGATGCAGAAGGTGATTTGGAAGAGCAAGATAATAGTGAAGTACCCTCAGAAGCACAAAAAAGACCTGAGAAGGTAGAAAAGAAAATATCAGAAACTTTCTTCTATAACTATGAAGATATATGTTCACGGCCATTTGTCACCGAAGACTCTGGGATACCAATTAACCTTCTTACTCTCAAGTATCCTTTCTGTTGAGGCTGTGCAAATTTAAAGCTAAGCATATTTAATGTATGTTCTTAAAATTGTATTTGTCTAATTTGGAGTTGCCTGTGTGGCATTAGTAGAGTATCTTTGGTTGAGACACAGTTAGAAATCCTGACCAGTTAAGGTTCTGGGTAAATTTAATCTTAAATGTTGTCTTAATCTCATAAACATTTCTTATTGGGTGTAATTCTTACTGTTATAAGTACTCTTGTAGAACTAGATCATGGCCAAGTTAATGTGACCAGGCAGAAGACTAGCATAAGAATATCCCCTGCAAAGCTCTCCCTTTCTGTGTAGCCACACTGGTATTCCCCGAGAAGGTGAGGGGAAGGGCAGAAGAGCAGCTGTGTACCTCATATGTCCTCACAGAACTGCCAAGGGAGAAGTGGTGAAGAAACCAGGTGGATTTGTAGCCTGATGCTCAGAAGATCTAAACTGGTAGAATAAAGGAAGTGATGCCCATCAATTAAGAGCTACACTAACTCTTTTGCTAGGTATGGTCAAGTAGGATATGATATGTGACTTTCACAAGTGCTGGTGATTTTCTCTGCAGACACAGTCAAGTTGCTGTTGAACACTGGATCTTCCCTTCTTTACATCTGCCTGTAAACATTTAAGTGAGCTTGAACACTTCCTTGGTTTGACCTCTTGTCTGTAGAACAGTTCTAGTAATCCGATGCAAATCTCTTGTGTTTTGTTTGAAAAGAGAACACCAATAGAATATTAATTCCTTGCAGCTCCAAACAATCCAGCAGAGGCAAGAAGTGTGCCCTGTAGTGGAGATGAAAGGATGGAATATGTTTTCCCCTCAGTTATAGAGGCATGATACGTTTTACCTTCACTGTACAAAACTATCTCCTACCATCAGTCTTTTAGTCACCAGATTCAGTCTTCCCACTTCAGTTTTAATTTAAGTGTTTCTATCCACTTAGTAAACTTTTCTAGAAAGCCAGTGTCAAATCTTTTCCTTACTGAACTGTTCCCAGACATTCTTTTGGATATGACTGCACCAGAAGTGTAAACCTGCTGCTGATGGATAGCCAAACACTGATGTATATTGCAGGCAACCAAGTGGTGCTCATGGACCTGAAAACTGAAGCTCAAAGTTATCTCCGGAGCAGCAGTGGTGGTGGAATTGGTTTTATCACGGTATGGCTTTTGTTGCGTGTTTTAGGATGTTACTCACTTTCTAGAAGCAAAGTGTTCACTTGGTTGCATGGTGGGAGATTCCTACTGCTGCACATGCATATATGTAAGGAAGTGTGGTATTGATTAGGGGCATGTGTGGACCATGCAGTGTGGGCTTCTCAGCCTGTCAGCATAATTGGCAGAGGACAGATATCTGCATACCTAGGTGCCAGGCTCAGGTACGTTAAAGGGCTGACAAGTGCCAGCTGGGATTAATTTTTAGAATTTATTGATTTTTATTTATTTATTTTTATTATTATCGAGTTTAATTATTACATTCTTATTTCAGCACATATAAACTTTTTTTTTTTGAACACTCATCTCTCCTAGTCACAGCTGATGTTATTATAGTGTTTTGCCTGCAGTTAAAATTTAGAAAATCAAGTTCCTAGATAAACGGAGAGAAAAAGTATCTGGTTTCACTCTAGTAAGCACATACTAAGAGTCTGGACTCTCAAATGCTTCCTCTGGATTTGAAGCACCTTACCCTGCGAAGGGCTCTGCCATCTCTCAGTTGTATTCCACATGAGCAAGGCTTTCAGAATACCAGCCTCAGACTGCTCTGCCACATTGTGAGCAGCTTTTTCTGAGGAATCGTGTTCCATCTTTATGTCCTCAGAGCAACATTATTCAGGATGGCTTTTCTGCAGCTGTCTGCTGAAGTAGATGGCTACTGGCGCAAATGCTGCTTGTGGAAAGATCAGCTAGTGGGTTGGGTGAGGTAGGAATAGTAAAAGAATGCATGATAAAGCAAATTATTTCACAGTTTGTCGTGGATCTACATTATGTGTGCAATATACCATTTTGTGTGCATAGTAGTGTCATTCTGCTATTGAGCAATAGATTGGCAGTTGCTCAGAATAAACACGCAGAAAAATGTAACCTAGTATTTATGGCAATATCTTTTGACTAACAAGTGAATAAATACAACAACTCAATAACTAGCAGGATAGAGACAAAGGTGCCATTACAGTATGCAACGAGACTTTTGCTTTTTCTAGGCGCACCCTACTAAGCAGTACTTTGCAGTAGGAGAAAAAGGAAAGAAGCCAAACCTCATCATCTATGATTATCCTTCTCTGAGGCCCTACAGAATACTGCAAGGTAGTGTAAAAAGTTCTATTTTCATTTTACATAAATGGGCCAGTGTTTATAGTTCCCAGCAGGTGGAGTAGTGGGTCACTGTAGAAGTTTAGAAGGAAATACCACCTTTTGGTCCTTCAAAGCGAGATAGAAAACACTGATTTCAAGCTGCTTTATTGTTGCATGGAAGGAAACTTTTATTTAGTAGAAATAGCCAACTGAGAGCTATTACCTAGTGAAAAAAAAAATTGCAGTGAAAGTTGAGCTCCTTCTAAGTAGATTTTCCTATTGGTTTTCCTCCTTTGCGGGTGCACGCGTGTGTGTATATGTGTGTGTGTATTTGGGCTTGTTATGTTTCCTCAGGTGGAACAGCGGAAGCCTATGTTTTTGGTGATTTTAACAATGCTGGCACTCTGCTGGCCAGTGTTGGGAGCAGCCCTGACTACATGCTGACTATCTGGGACTGGAAACAAGAAAAGATAGTGTTGAGGTCAAAAGCTTCTTCACAGGATGTTTACAAGGTCACATTTTCTGCTGATAATGAAGAGCAACTAACCACATCTGGAGTAGGACACATCAGGTATTTTTACTGATTAGGATTATTATTACAGGCTGAGAGAGTTGGGGCTGTTCAGCCTGGAGAAGAGAAGGCTCTGGGGTGATCTTATAGCAGCCTTCCAGTACTTAAAGGGGGCCTACAGGAAAGCTGGAGAGGGACTTTTTACAAGGGCATGTAGTGATAGGACAAGGGGCAATGGCTTTAAACTGAAAGAGGGCAGATTTAGATTAGATCTAAGGAAGAAATTCTTCACTCTGAGGGTGATGAGGCACTGGAACAGGTTGCCCAGAGAAGTTGTAGTGCCCCATCCCTGGAGGTGTTCAAGGCCAGATTGGATGAGGCTTTGAGCAACCTGGTGTGGTGGAGGGTTTCCCTGCCCATGGCAGGGGGGTTGGAACTGGATGGTCTTTGAGGTCCTTTCCAACCATAACCATTCTGTGATTCTATGATTCTATGATTAATACATATCACCTCTAAAGTCATAATATGTAGAAGATGACTAACAGGAATATATCATTAGCAAACATGGACCAATGAGGAATGCTGTTTTACCTGGCCATCACAATTACAAAAATGAGAAAGTTCAAGTCCTTCAGCCAGTTAGCCAAGTCTTTTAACACCTTTGCTGTGCAGAAAGGATGATGCTTGATGTTGAATGTCGGCACCGTCTCCATTCTTGTAATTTCAACAAGCACCAGGGAGAATTAATAAAAAATACTTATATATACATGTCATGTAGCTGGTAATATATAGCATATATACCTCCTGTGCCTTCTGGGCTTTCTACCTCTCGTTTCTCAAACTTGTCTGCTGTTTGGGCAGCCATTGGAACTGGTTGCCAAATCATGGATCAGAAACCCTCTGATACCACCAAAAGCCTGCAAGGAAGCCTTACAAAAGATATGCTTCCATACACTCCCTTCTCTGGTAAGATCATGGATCCTTTTGTAATAAAAAATAAACAACGACTTTAAGCTCTCTGGGACAGAGATTAGCTTTGTGTTCTGTATTTATCCAGTGTTCAGTGTTAACACAGCAGAGACTAAAGATATGACTTAGATGCTATTGTAATAGAAATGATACCTTTAAAATTATAACACATCTAAAGTTTCTTTGAATTTTAACGGAGGAATCAGGTCAAAATCTGAGATTTGCTCTATAGTTTGTTTGCAAAGCAGGTCTGAAATTACAAATGGCTTGTTTAGATGCAGAATGAATGTGGTTTAGAGTACATTATTTATGGAAATCTGACAAAACAAAATCTCTTATAAACTTTCTTTTGGGCTAAAATGCTATGAATAACTCTGACATAGCTTTTATAACATGATAAACATGACCTTTCAGCCAAATGTGGTCTAAAATTCCCATTTCCAGCACCTGTCTTAAATGTAATGTCTTCTGCACACACAGTGAACCATTCCTAATTGCAGTAGGTGTTGATTTTTCTGTAATGTGGTAATTTAAAGTTATGTTTTATAGTGCTAAAAATATAATGATCAAATAGAAATAGCTATGAAGATCTAGGATAAAACCTTTGGCTCAGTGAGATTTTATGGTCAAGCATAAGTCCATGGGGGTACTTGGATGAAATTCAGTGAAGCACTTAGTCCCTTGGATTTAAAAAGTTGAGCATCATACACTGAAGACAGCAAGAGTAAAACAGGTACCCCTAACTACGTGTGTTGGTTGTAGCTGGAAAGATGTAGTTATACATTTCACACTTCTTAAGTAGTAGTTTAATCTTCATTTTGCTCATTCCAAATCCTTTTCCTAGCTTTTTCATGGGGGTAGTGTAGGGAAATGTTTGTGTAGTTGCAACGCTTTATCTCATTTTAAAAAGAAAAACTCAATGTCTCCTGTGAAAAAGAATAATAAATGAACAGCCCTTACCTCAGAGGCATCCCTGGTAAGATTATTAAAATGTCTGAGAGGGACTGAAGAGTGTGTTTAAGGAAATCTTGTATCAGAGAGCAATGTTTTTTCTATACTCAGGTTCTGGAAGATGGCTCTCACATTCACTGGTCTCAAGTTACAAGGAGCTTTGGGCAGGTTTGGCAAAACAGCAGTGACCGACATTATAGGTTATGTGGAGCTGCCTGATGGGAAGGTATGTAAGAAATAGTTTAATTGATTTTATATTCCCTCTCAGGTTTTGATATAAAGTCTACTGAGTAAGTTGGAGAGTTGTTATTTGCTTCAAAGTTATTTGAATCAGACCCTCAATGCACTGCTCTGATAAGCTAATATTGACTTAATTTGCCAAAAAACTTGGCTTGCTTTGTAATAATTGGAAAGTACAGTTAGTATTGTAATTCCCAGACAAAAGATCTCTGTTGGCTTAGAGCTGATACTCTTCGAATGGGGTAGTGAAAATGTGAGTGTAAAGAAATACAGACTGTTAGCCCTAGTCTTTAACCATTTCAGTGCATGTAAATGATGTCACATTGCTAAAAAGTTGAATCTTCTCACCCTTTACACCTTCTCTTGCAAATATCTCTACGTTGGTATCAATTTAATGCTTTCATGGAAGGAAGCCTCAGATGTTGACCATGTTCTTGCCAATATTTCTGTATGGTTAAGTGCAGGTGCTTACGTGCCTATCTTCATTTACATTGAAGGTTGTCTCAGGGACTGAGTGGGGCAACTTGCTGCTTTGGGAAGGGGGCCTAATTAAAGTGGAACTCTGTCGAGCGGGACACAAGCCCTGTCACAGTGCCCCTGTCAGCCAGTTAGTTCTGGATGAAGGAGAACTTGTCACTGTTGGAAAAGATGGCTTCATTCGGGTGAGTTTTTCTTCTGCTTTGCCTTTAGGTGTGCAGATTTGTGGTCAGCAGGTAAATGTTGCATATTTTCTTTAACAGGGCTTATTTATGGAGGCAGTTTTGCAGTGCAGTTTCTGTATGAGAATGAGTTTTTAGAACAAACAGAATAAGAGCACATCTCCACAGCGTATATGTTTGAATTGGACAGTGTTTATGCAATGTTCTCGGTTTAATAGTAGTAAATAAATCACCTTTTACTCTAGTAAATAAGAATAATTTTCACTGGTGCTCTAAAAGCTTTGCTCTTACCTGCTTTCTAGTATTTTTTTTCATGTGTAGTTTTGGTTAGTATTTATAATTTTCGGGCCTATTAATATATGTTAATAATGGTGTAATTTCGAAGGATAAGCTACCGCAATATTTGAAATTAATTTTCCGAGTATTTGAAAGCTGAGATTATTAATGTTAAAATGACACAGAAATTAACTAGCATCTCAGAGATACATATACTGAAATAGAGGAACAATTAGAAGAAAAAGCTTCCTGAAGTTAACATATAATTCAATGAATTAAAGTAAAAAGGTTTTCCTTAGCTGTACCACCAGTTTCTCATCTTGCCCGTCAATTATCAAGGATTTTGCAATCTTGTTTGCCTGCTCTTTAAAGGAAGCCATGATGTGTCTTCTGCAGATGTGTGAAAGACCCAGATAATCAACAGGAAGCTGACTGCTATAGACAGTGGAGGTTTCAAACACCCTGGAGTTTGTGTTGTTGGGTTTTATAAATTGATATTATCCCATTAGGAAAATTCACTTGGTTATAAGGATGCCAGCTGATGTCTTGTCCTTATCCCACAGAACAGAAGATGGATGTGTTAGATTTCCCATTCTCTCTTCTGTGCTGCCTCAGTATGAGCAATGCTGAGAGCCTGCAGATACCGTTTGCTCTCTATAGTTCTGAGGTTGCCATGTGTAGCTCCGCTAGTGCCAGGGCTGAATTTAAGCCACTGCTGTTTCAGAATTGGACAGATAACTTTTACATGTACTTTGCATTGCACTCAAATGTATCAGATAATAGTTGCTGATTGTCACTGTTCTAGGTTACGTCCAAGGCGGTGAGGCAGATATGACAGGTTTCATACTCTACCTGCAGAATCTACACTCCCCTGGTTTCTTATAATTTTGAATGTCCGTATTAATCGAGTATGAAAACATAACCTGGCCTTATGAAAACCTTTTTATTTTTTTTGTAATGCTTCCAATGCCATGAAGGTGTGGAACTTCGAGACAATAGATGCTGCAGATTGTGTGGATGACACGGGGTTACTGGAGGTGGAGCCTATGAATGAACTTCATGTTGGCAGGAATGTCAGCCTGAGTTTCATGTCAAAAGTTCATGACTGTGGACAGCCTGTTTGGTATGCTCAGGTAAGATACCCTCAAGTACATACATCTCTGTGGAGAAACACAGAATGAGGGAGGTGATGTTAAGTAAGAGCAGGAGTCCATTACAAATGAGTACATTTCTTTTTGGTAGAATTCAGTCTTCTTCTGGATATATATAAGATCTTATTTTTTATATATAAAATATATAAAATCTTCTTTCAATCACTGGAACAGGCTTCCTATAGAGATGGTTTAAGTCCCACGCCTGTCAGTGTTTAAGAAGCATTTGGACAATACCCTTACTGATATACTTTAACTTTTGATCAGCTCTGAAGTGGTCAGGCAGTTGGACTAGATGATCATTGTAGGTCCCTTCCAACTGAAATGAACTACACTATTTTATGCTCTTCTAGTCTATGCTATTCTAGTCTGTGTTTTTAGTCTATGATGGCATGTGAGACTCTGGCTCTCAGAGCCAGAACTGCATAAGAATAGGAGAATGTCAAAAGGTATTCTCCAAGTTCTGTTATCCTGGGCTGATGGATAGAACTCATAGGACCAACATCACCACATTCACAATGATAATCATTAAGGAATTTTTAAGGAGTCACTGGGCAGTTTTATTTCCAAATTGAGTTTGAAAATATTCAAGTTACTTGTTTTGTTTTTTTCTTCTTCAGGATGCCAATGGTGCAATCTGGAAGCTGGATTTGACTTTTTCAAATATGGTTTGTTTTCATTTTCTTTTTTCTGATTTCTTCGATTACTTTGCAATAACTTCCTTTAACTATACTGGATGCATCTGCAATGAAGTTTGTGTTTCAAGAAGCTGCACAGTTGAAAATTGTAGCATTTAAGCAGATTTTTTTCCCTAAAAAATTATGTTCTTTATGTTATTGATTATAATGATTATACAGGATTATTAAAAATGTTTTGATTTTTGATTCTTGAAATTTCGACTGCCAATTCAAGTTACCTTAAGGGAGTTTTATTCTCATAAAGTGGCAATAAAAATTGCATAGATGCTGGAAACGAGTTCAAGGATATATCCTGTCTAAATAGGTGTTTGAAACACTCCTTACTGTTGTCTTTAAATGACATAAAGAACTAGGAAAAACAAGCAGAAGATTAAATGCACTTCACATGTTTTATCCTGCTGGTTACTAGTGTTACTGCTGGAGATGTTTCTGATGGAGAAATAGGTGATGCAGTTAAAATGGGAACATCTAATTTTTGCTCCTGAACATATTAAACGGGAACAATCCCTTTGGGTGGAATAACGTTCTGTGGCAACAGGTAAAATTATGTTCCAAGAATTTTATGGTAAATAAAAGATGTACAAAGCATACTATAAAAACTAATGTAAAAAATGTATAACAAAATCTGTAATTCCTTGGATGGAGAAATGATTTCCCAGGCAGCATAAACCCTGGGATTGAGAGCATTTTCTTTGCCTTTAGAGCAACAGCTCTTTGTTGAAATTACTAATTCCAAGCCTGAAACCACTTAATGAAAGATATTGCCCTTTATTTTCACATAGAAAATGATGGAATTTGAAGTGAACTTAATGTTCCTACACTAATTTTGTTAATGATCTTCTTATGAAAATTTAAATAAAACAAAAAAAGAGAATTGCATATAGGTACCTCATGCATGCCTAATTTTGTTCACACGAACAGCACCTGTCTAGACTTTTCAGCTTCACTGTAGGTATGGTTGGTAATACCTTGTAAGTGCAGCTCCAGAATGTAGCAGAATTTCTGTTCCTCTGTCCTGCACTGCAGACCCGTGATCCAGAGTGCCTGTGTACCTTTCACTCTGGAAGGATTGAGGCCATGAGTGTCTCTCCCGTTACATACCTTATGGCCACCACTGCTCTTGACCGTAAGTACACTATTCATTTCCTCTCATACCACTGTGGTTTTGAAGAGCAATAATGCTTGGTTTGGAACTACTCTGTTTTGAACTGCAGTTGTATATTCGTTCTTGAAAAGTCACTTCTCAGACGATTGTTATTCCTGGGGTCAGTTCTTTAATAGTTAAGATATATCACTAATGTTTTGAAATAATGCATTCAGACTGCTTTCATCTTAAAACCCTGGAATTTTAACAAGAGAATTTTTTAGTGGGAAACTTTGTAAATGCTCTTCATTCTGAAGGAGTGGCTGAAAAGATGAGACGTGGTTTGAATAACAGCACTTGTATTCAAGGCTCTGGATCAATAAGTGTTTGAATTTTTGTTTTGTAAGGAATTACATACATGTCTAGCATTGTGTAAGTCATTGTGAATATTAATATTTGTGGCTTTCTTAGAAAATGCAATAACTATCATGCTCTCAACAACAGCTAACATGTAATTTAACAGACATATTTATTTATCTTACATAAATACTGCAATTTAGGCCTCTCACAGTTAGCTTTATCATGCTTTGAAAGAACCACCACTGGCCAGAACATTAACAATGTCATTCACACTTCTCAGAAAATGCTACAAGGTCTTTAACTCAATTCTTGTCAGCAGTATCTTGTCATTTGTCTGTGTTATACAATATACGTGCTCTTCTAGCCTGAAGGCAAACTCCTACTGGTTGAGCAAATGACACTTAGGATATATGCCAGCTGGAATGGAATTTTATGCAGACTGATATGTGTGTCTACGAATCTGTTAATTTCACCTCTGGTGAAATTGGCTTTTCTTTGGACAATCTCCCATTTTCATCCATTTAAGTATTTTCCTCCCTAGGCAATCCCAAGTAGTAGCATATAATTTTTTCCTCTGTTGTCAGTACAGATTTTGCTTGCAGTATGCCACAGTTGTATGATTAGTTGAAAATTACACATAGTAGTCTGCATGGGACTCCTTATTACAACCCTCAGCCCTGACAACTCTTGGGAGTGTGTAAGTTAAAGAGTGAAGAAAGCTTATGTTTTGCTCATGAGGACCATGCTAGCTGTGGTACTCTGTAGCCATCAGTCATGTCCTTCCAGGCAGGCATTTGATACTCAAAGAGAAAAATTAATAACATTCTATCCAGATTTTAATTCAAGTAAATTGACATTTCTCCATAAATCTTGAAATGTAAGTGATGTCGCAAGGAATAAATTCTTACTGTCTCCTTTCCATGCAGGGTCAGTGCGTATCTATGATTTCATCAGCAACAGTCAACTGAGTGAAATTAAGTTTAAACAAGGAGGAACAGCACTGACGTGGGCACCTCGTGTTGTGAGTGTTTGCTAGTGTGTTAAAAAAAAAATCACGAGGCCTATGAGCCTCCCAGCATCAAGAAAGTTGCTCACTATACAAGACCTAAAAGAACTCACTGTTAGGCCATGGTGGAATTTACTGTAGTAATATGTATATATGAGTCTGTGGAGTAGTATGTATGTATATAGTATGTGTACAGTTTGACTTTCCTGTGGATTATCAGGTATCCTACTTTGTGTCTTCCTGAGATTTTAAAATCAGATCTGAGTGTGCAGTCCTAGGAAGTAGTCTTAGTTTATAGACTAACAGCTTCTATTTAACTCATGCGGAGTTGCCATTTGTCAATTGTCAATTAACATGAGTTAGTTAACACATTTTGAAATGACAGCCCAGATGATCCACAAACATTTGGAGATAAATCATAAAAAAACTGTTGCCAGAACTGATCACTTGTGTAGTGTGGAGTCTATCACTTTTAGACATATTTGCTAATTTTAATTAAAAAAGCGTATAGTTCTGTTCTTGAGCAAACATAGCAAGCCTGGGGGGTTATTATTATAAGCAAATTTATGGAGGAAAGTGTTTACTTGAATTTCCAAGCCGAGGGTAACACTGGGACAGTGCTCATGTGATTCTGGCCATGCAGACTTTCAGGGATGCTGTTAGGTGATGACCTATACATTGAAGAGGTAAGCTGATTGCCACAATAAATTGTACAGCATTAAAAAACTGACTCAGTTCAGTTTTACAAAAGTTGGTACCACACAGTCTGAAAATCAAGAGTACTTAGTCTATCTAGCTGCATTTAAAATCCCATTAGATACTTACACGTAGCTTGAGGTGCTCAAATGTGTTTGAAAATCTGTGCTACTAATCTAAGAGGATTTTATCCAACATACTTTGAAGCATCTGTATGCCATAATAACCTCGTAGGCAAGCTAGCAACGTACGGGTTAGATAAGTGAACAGTGACATGGAGTTAGAAGTGCCTACGAGGGGGCAGTGATCATCAGCACCAAGTCCAGTTAGAGGCAAGTCTCTAGCAGTGTAACCTAGGGGCCATTATGGATGCCAATATTCTTCATTCATTACCTGGACACTGGAACAGAGTGCACTCTCAGCAAGTTTGCAGATGGTATGAAACTGAGAGGAGTGGCTAGTACTCTAGAAGGTTGTTCTGCTGTTCAGATGGAGCTGGACAGGCTGGAGAATTGGGCTGACTAGAATCTAATGAAATTCAATAAGGGAAAATGCAAAGTCCTGCATCTGGGTAGGACCCCAGAGCTGTTGTGGCTGCCCCATCCCTGGAAGTGTTCAAGGCCAGGTTGGATGAGGCTTTGAGCAACCTGGTGTAGTGGAGGATGTTCCTGCCCATGACAGGGGGGATTGGAACTAGATGATCTTTAAGGTCCCTTCCAACCCAAACCATTCTATGATTGTATGATTCTATGAATACTGCAGACACCAGTACCACCTGGGGGCTCACCAGCTGGAAAGCAGTTCTGCAGAGAAGGATCCTGGGATCCTGGGAGACACCAAGCTGACCATGAGCCAGCAATGCACCCAAAGGAGTCCAACAGCATCCTGGGCGGCATTAGGAAGGGTGTTACCAGCTGGTTGAGGGAGGTGATCCTTCCTCTTTACTCAGCAGTGGGGAGGCCACATCTGGAGTGCTGGCTCCCTAGCAGAGGAAAGATATGGAATTAATGAAGGGAGTCAAACACAGAGCCATAAATTTGAGGTCCATGAGTGACTCCTCTTGTTCATTTTCTGAGCAATGCTATTGTACACCTGCTTATTACAGAGGGGCTTTTTACAGTGAGACATCACAGGCTGATCTCTCTGGATAATAGGAAGACACCCCCAGCTCCCTCTGAGCAATAAACTTTTCCGTACCTAATATCATACTTTTGCCAAATGCTCACAGAGCTTATCCATGCACTCTCATCTCTTCACACAGCATTCCTTCTGGTCTCATTTCTGGTGTGCATTAGTATTGATCCATGCCATGTCTGGAGCTGGCTCAGCTTGTAAATCACTCCAAGACACTACCACATATAGCCAGTATCAGCTAAATCTACAACTCCAGCTAGATCCAGCTAAAACACAAGCCTGTTTCTGCTAACTCTTCTCTCTCGCCATTCAAGCCTGTCTACACTGTTAGCAATTGGCTTACCTACAGAGCCTATGCTAAAGACTCCATAGTCTCCTCTTTCCATTTCAAGTAGTTGTCCCTGTTGACAACTGTAGTTTACATGGAGTCAGCCAGACCCACGTCTGTGGTCTCACCTCTCCAAAAATCATACCCACATTCAATGCCCAATATTATATTCAGGGTAACAAAATAACTTATTTTTTTCAGTTCCAACTCTTCTTAAGAAGAAACCTACTGATACATTTGTATATCGGTAGGACCTACCTCTTCCTCAGATGTTACGATCACACCCTCATTAACATTTCCAGTCTCGATGGCATGTTATCAGTAAAAAAAAAACCCAATCCAAACCAAAAGATAACCCTTAGTCCCTTTATAGTAGTGTATTCGAGAGAATAAACGTTTCCCATATATGAAACGTTCTTTGTGCTTTGGCAACACTTCCATGGAAGATCAGTTACAGGTTAGCGGCAGAGCTATACAGTATATACTGTGCCATACAGATTCTTATTCTAAGTTCTCAGATGTACACTCTGATTTTTTTTCTTTGTTCTTCCACTGAAAGGTGAATCCGAAAGGAGGTCTGATTGCTGTGGGCTTTGAAGATGGTGTTGTCCGCATAATTGAAGTTTATGATCCCAAAGGACTGCCTGTTCTTGCAGGACACACCAAAAGAGAGAATGCAGAGATAAATCTGAAACAAGCTTTCAAACCTCATGCTACTGCAGTTACAGCCTTGGCGTATGAACGAAACGGAGATGTGCTCGCCACAGGGGTATGTATCACTTCTTTGAGTTATTTTTATTAAGCCACAAGTGTAGAGTTTATTTAAAGAGATAAGGTAAAGTTTGTTTACTAACAACACAATTTTACTTCTGTTGATCACTTCTTGTAGTTTTCTGCAGAGCTGAGAGAAGGAAAGGATCTGTTTGCACACATTTGGTTTCTGAAGGAAGGCAGCCATGCAATTCATACAATTCATTTTATGAATTACTGGACCGTTTAGTGTGAATACGGTGACCCCCCTTGAAGATGAATTTGGTTCATTTTAGAATTAGTTTAGTAGTATCTTGGAATTAGTAAAAGCAAGTCTGTTTGTACACCACCTTGGCCGTGCTCTAGCTGCTACCCAGCACTGCTTGGCCTTACAACAGGATCAGCCAGTTGGTTTGTCAGTGTGCCTGATAGTCTTTGAGATGGTTTCTAGTCAATGTGGTCTCTCTTTTTAACAACCAGCCTTCAGCCATGATCAGTACATTTGCAATTATGTGTTTCTTGAGCTGAATCACCACGCATTTTATGTAATGCAGGACTTAAGCTGCCATGCATCATGTTGTGCAGCAGTTCTGGATTTTCTTGTTATCAGGGGAAACCAGCCTGTGCTGTCGTATCTGAAAAATCATGCCTGAGCCTGAGCTTTAAAGGAGATCCTGGGGCAGAAAGCATGTGGCTGAGGATGCCATGTGAGGCCCATCAGGGCAATTAAGGGCTATGGGTACACTCAGGGCCCTGGAGCAAGGTGGAAAGGCTTTTTATTTCCTCCCTGACAATATTATGGTGGAAATCCAATTCCAAGTTCCAAGGTGCTTGTAAGTCCCCCTTTTGAGCCATAAAACATTTGAAATATGTGTTATGTCATAAAATACTTACAATCTTTCAAATTTTTGGTCAGCTTTGATTCAGTCATCATCTTTGTTGTTTTTTTTTCTCAGAGTGAAGACAAAACTGTTTTCTTTTTTGCTGTTGAAGATGAATATAAGCCAATTGGATTCATCTGTGTCCCTGGGCCTGTGCAGGCATTACAGTGGTCTCCACCTTCTCATGTGAGTAATGCATGTTTGTTTTCTTTCCTTTCCTACAGTGTTAAAATGTCGTTCTGAAAAGAGTGTCCAATGAAAATAGATGAAGATCCATGACCCTAGTCATGTTCTCTATAGACAATGCAAAAGATGTTTTGCTACTTTGTTCTTCAAGCCGCTTCAGAATGACAGGTTCTGTGTAGCGGTATCTCTGGTTCAGTCACCTTGGACATGTTTTGGGCTTTGGATAGTGAAGAGCAGAAACATAGGGAAACCACAAAATTTTGCTCAGCTTTTTGAATTCCTGCCTTGACGAAACAAGCTTGTGCCTTAGCTTTTGGAAGGTCTTAGTCTTCTTTGATAAAAGAGTTATTTGAATGTTATTGCTTGTGACTCTTGCTTTGGCAAAGCTTTTGGACCACATTAAGAAAGCTTTTGGAGGTTTCTTGGAGTTCACACTCTGTGTTTGAAGTGTGTCAGTGACATATTTAAATAGATTCTTGCTAATATTTTAAAAGTTGTATAGGTTAGGGTAACATTTAAGTTTTGATTGGTGCAGTATTCTTATTTAGAAGGGAGATTGTTCAGCATATTTAGATGCTGACAAAGTGGCCAGCAAGGTATGTCACATTAGTGCACTGTGGCAAAGTGTAGCTATTATTTCTTGTTCATGGGAACTGATAAAAACTGCATTGGCAAAAGAATTGTTGCTGGTATGAACTCTGTTACTGCAGAAATGACAGATCTTGATCCAAGAGTTGCATTTTGAGTCCTTTCCTTGAGGCCAAGGTACTCCTACATACTAAATAAACCACTTATGAAATCTTAGATATGTTAGGTTCCCTGTGAGTAATTTTGTCTATCAGTATCAGGTCTCCACTGCTAGATATGAACACTTACTAAACATAGTACAAGCATCTGAGTGTTACACTACTTTTTTTCTCTTTAAAGAAACTCACCTTGTTGATTAAATACTATACATTTAATGAATGCATTTGTAAGATTGAGATTTTTATAGACAGAATCGTATAATTACTAGTTAAGGTTAACATAGCAACTCTAATATGCCCCCTTTGCACATTTTAGTTATGGGTCAGATAAAATAAGCCTCTCTCTATTCTCCTCGCTTAAAAAATTGAAACTAAATACAGATTGGCCTTCAAAACATTGAATAATTATTACCCTTACCTTGCCTGTTCCTCCTAGCTTTGCATTTTAAAGGAGCTAGCAGGTACCAGTAAAGAGCAATCAAACTCAAATAGCACGTGGCAAGATTCCGAGCCCAGTCTTGAAGTTATAAGGGATTTCTTAGTATAGAAATGTATGAACTTTCAAGCAATTATCAAAACAAAACCTCAGCTCCTAACTTGTGGGTTAGATCCATCCTTTAATTTATTCAAACTCCTAAAATATCATCACACTTCCAAGCTAGATAGTGTCAAAATGATAACTGCTTTGTATATGGCAAGGACTTCTTCAATTCTTTAGCTTTTCCTAGGATACCTAGCGTAAAAGAAGCTCAATGATTTCTGATGTATTTTTAAAAGTGTCCATTTAGATAAGAGTGCAGTTAGGGTTAGTGCCTCCTGACTGGAGCTTGGCTTTGTGCCTATGCATCTTCTGACTAACTTTTTCCCATTTCTCTCAATTTCCTATATACACCTGCCCTACACTTGTATTTTTTGTGGTTTTGTACAGGTGAAAAGCACGCTGCTCATCCTTTGTGGGAATGGCTTTGCTCTGCAGGTTCCTGCCCCTGTCCCTGAGGAACAGGAGACAGTGTCCACCTATCAAATAAAAAACCTGCCAACGCAGTACTTCCATTTTTATAGTATTAAATCCCGAATCAAGGTAAAGAACTCTCCTGTGCAGGAGTTTCTTGTTCTTTGTGTGCCAGAGGACAAAACTACCCAAAAAAGTTTCGAGTCCCTGTATTGCATCAGAGCATTTTTGCTAAGCTTCTTGAAGAGGAAGGCCATGTGGAGTCCATTTATGGCTGAGTTTCAACATTCGAAATTACAAGTTGTTGTTTATTTCTTCAAATAGAACGCAGATCACACTGAACGCATGATGTGCGTTTTGATTAGAATTAAAAGATAGCATTAGTGAAAGGGAAAGGTAGTGCAGCACATTAGTTCTTAAAATATTTTCATTTTGGTAATTTTCAGAAAAAGTATGTTTCTTGTGGTTGATGTTAGCCCTGTAGGAAATCCCTTTGAACAGTCATAAAACATCCATGTGGTCACTTTGAGGCAAACACAAAGCATCTTTTCTTTTTTTTCCAGCAGTTATGTATTTCTGGGTTTATTTAAAATAAATTTAAATTTATTTAAATTATTAAATTTTAAATTTAATAATTTTAAAGGCATGGATTTTATTTCTGAATGAGAACTAGCACTTTAGAAGATACGCGAGGCCAAAGGAAAGGAGTTGTGCCAGCTCTCAGCTATAGATAATTTTGTGAAATTAAAAAGTAAGCTGATGTTAGGCTTAGGAGCAGAGCTCCAGTGAGCAAGCTCTCAGTCCCACGTTCAATCCACCACAATCCAACAGCCTCTCTGATTCTGTTCTTAACCTGTGATTTCTTTGCTTTCTCTATTAACTGCTCCTGTCTTCTGAGTGGTGCATTACTGAATGTCAGGCAAAGCCTCATTTCTTATTAAAATTAGGAGGAAGCCAGCATTCAGCAGAAAGATTTCTTGGTGGCTTTCTAACAGGAAGAACTACAAGAGTGATCACAAAGCCATCATACGTATGTAAGGAAAGGCTGAAAGAATGTGTGTGGAGTTTTGTTGGTGGGGTTTTTTGGATAGGTTTTTTTTTTTAGTCAAAAGACAAGACTATTGTTGGGAGGCACTATAAATCTTTAAAGAGAAAAGATTTATACAGAGAGCAAGAATATGAATTGCTCTATTTTTTGTCTAGGAAGAGATCAATAATTAATAAGTTGCAACTAGATAAAATGTAAGGAAAGATTTCTAACAGTAAGAGTGGTGAAGCACTGAAATAGTTTATGTAGGCTGTAGAGTTCCCATAGCAGACTTTTAATGGGTAGATCAAACATCACCTGGTAATATTTAAAGTTTAGCTGATTCTGCTTTCGGGCAAAAGAATACTCTTTTTAGATCCTTTCCAGACCTTTGTCTGTGATTTCCTATCCAATATCTTCTTAGGAAGATCCTGTTTTAGAGAATGTTTGATATTTGTTTGTGCTAACGTAGGCTTGACTGGAACAGGGGTTTTAAAGTTTTATAAATCCACAAATGTCTTCCCTTTGTTGTTTAGAGGTAAAGTCCATTACAGGTTCTCTTTTTACACTACATCAATGATGCATTAGAACTCGGGAATCTGCGTTCAGTGCTTTTCTTTCTTCTGGGCAGGCAGAAGAAAGGACTTAGGAGTTCTGCAGAAGTAGTATGTTAATAGAGGTTAATTTTTGGAATAATCTCTCTGAGGAAATGCTAAAGTCTGCTTCTCATGCAGAATGGTTTCTGTTTCAAAGGACCATACTTTGGAGGAGGGAAATAGGGGCAGATGAAGTCTGTTTGATCTCTGCCTAGTTGAAGGAAAAGAGATTTCTCTAGATATTCTGTATATATAATGCCAGGACCACCTTGGATTTCATTTATGAGACTCCTTCAGCTGGTAATGCATGGAGTGTCTTGGTTTCATGTCACCGTGTTTCTCTGCTTGTTGTAATAGCTGGAAGAGGAGATTGCACTGAGAGAGGCAAAAAGGCGGGAGAAGGAGAAAGCAAAGCTTGAATGGATAAAGCAGCAACAGGAGATGGGAAAGGAGATAGAAGAAGAACCTGAAGAGGAAGCCAAAGAAGAGCCATTGCCACCTCTTTACATACCAGAGGAGCCCAGTCCCATCCTCTGTGGGTTTTATTCATCGCCAGGAAAATTTTGGCTTTCCTTGGTATATCAATTTTTATTTCATGTTAACAGGATAGCAAGATGTGGCAACTTTCCTTTCACATTTGGGTGCCTTAGAAAACTGATTATTTGAAACCTGCTATCTCTAGGACATGGAATCCTCTTCATATTTGATTATTTCAGTGGTCTTTGTGAAGTAGGTCAGTAGTGTCACTCCAATTCAGATTGTTCAGTAAATTCCCAGCAGGTACACTTCTCAGTGATGCCTGAATGAGCACAAAGACTAAGATGTTCCTTCACAAACAGAAGGGAGAATTTTAACATACTGGTAGGATGACTTGTAATGCCAGTGATGATGATGATAGGTTTTCTCTGTGGGTAAATAGGATCTCTAGATATTTGGAAGTCACTATTTCTAACCTACAGTAGATCCTTAAGAAAGGAAGAATTACTCTGAAAATGACATTTACCTGGTCAGCTGTTTCAGTGTTCTTTTGTTACCATTTCTTTATGGTCCTTCTCCTTTTCAGGGTGGGTATGACTCAGGGTTCCTCTATCATTGTGAATTCTCCTCGAATGATCACCAGGAAGACCCTGAAAACAGGCAAGATGAACCCTTTGAAGTGATTCCTATTGAGGACACTGACAACAATCCCATCCACCAAATCTCCTTCTGGTAAAGCATTGCAGTGTAACAGTTAGCTTCATGATAAAGCTTGATGAAATTGAACTTGGAAGGGAGGCGGGTACACTGCTTTGTCACTTTTGAGTCAACTGTGGTATGCAGGAACTCTCTCTGGTTTTCCTGGCTCTGAGTTTCACTTAAAATTTCTAATGGACGCAGTTGGGCACTGTGTCTGACAGAATAATTTTAAAAGTCCTCCAAAGATGAAAATGTCGGATTTCTAAATCAGATGCTGATTAGGACTCAAACATCCTAGATTGTGGAACTCCAGGAGACCCCTTAGAAGTCTCTGCAAATTGTGATCATCAGAGCACCAGTTCTTTTTGGTAGTTAGCAAAGAGAGGACAGCCTTCGAGAACAGGGAGGGATCAGTCCATCCCTCTTGTGCAAAGAATACAGGCTTCTCGGGACATCCTGTGAACTGCACGAATGAAAAGGGTAAACTATTTTCAGACTCCCAATGTTGGGGTCCCTGTAAGGCCAGGCGTGATCTGTATCTAAGGAAGCAGGTTTATTTCAGGCTGTATTCTACAGCTGGGTGTGTTCACCACCATCCATAGTAGACTGAGAGCAGGGAGAGAAAACTGTTTTTTCTAGCTCTGAACTTGCTGTCCGCTACCCTGCACAACTCATGGCTGAGACCGGTTCCATGATACCCAGCAAGTGCTGGAGCATTCCTGAGCAGCCATTTAGCTGGAAAAGAGTTTGTAGTAGTATCGTACATACTTTAAATGGTCCAAATACTTTGCTACCAGCTTACAAACTTGGGAAGGCTACATTTATTCAGATAGATTAGCTCTTCTTCAGAAGTATCACAGTTTGAGCTGCGGCCTTGCTCATTGCAAGTTGCCTGTTATTACTGTTTCTCATTGCTTATTTGACAGTACCAGCAGACTGCTGATGTTCTGTGGGATGCAGAATGGTGCACTGCGTGTTTATCCTCTCCAAGATAAAGACTTCTCAGTGAACACCCTGAAGGAATACTGGTCCTTCAACGTACATGACAATGATTATGGCCAGATCCAGGGGATCTGTTCTAGTTATGATGACAGGTTTCTGATCACCTGTGGTGGAGATGGAAACATTTTCACTTTCAACATCTTGTCTCCAGAGGATGTTCACAAAGAACTAAAAGCCAAAATCCCCTCTCCTAGGGTAAGTCACTACCCTCTTTCACTGAATTAGGCCTATTTACAGTGAAACTACTGTGGATGGTCAAAATCCAGTTCAATTATCAGGCATCGTAGATCTTCCATAGCAAAAGCTGAAATTTCCCAAACTATTTGGAAGAAGAGCTCTTGTGAAACATTCCCTAATAAACAGGCACTCTGACTGCATTGTTCCTTCTGAATGTTTTTGTGTTTTTCTCCAAATAAGCATAGTATGTGTTGTTCACGTGTAATATTCCACTAGTCTTTTCCCACTCAAAGGTGTAATCATGCACATTCCTAGAATGAAAGAACCACAAGGATTTATCATACTTAGTACTTGTCTTGGATTTAATTCCAGTAAAGTATGATTCTGCTCTGGATGGGGACTCTAGAAGTAATGTAGGAGAATACCACATGTATAGTTTCTCAGTGCATCTAGTACTGTTCATATACAATTCACAGTGGGATTTTTTAAATCTGCAAAATAGGACAGCATGGTGCTGATCCTGTTGCTCTTTGACTCTTGGACAGCATTAGCAGTAATGACTTTACAGGTGTCCTCTCATCACCTTTAGCATGTCTGAACAGACGACCCTGGAACTTGATAACGGTTCTACTGATAATGCACAAGAAGAGAGAAATGTCAACTCCCCCACTAAAAATGTTCAGACTTTATTGAATTGTTCAAAATTACACACATTTTAAATATCTCTTGAGTGCCTGAATTAAATGAATATGACTTGAAAGAAGCAGTGAGATCTATTAAGTAAAGAATTGCTATCATGCACAATGAATTTTGAAGTAGATATACACGCAGTACAGTTTTAAAATCTTGAAAATTTCAACATAAAACGAATTCAACTTTTAAATATTTTTAATATTAGTTGGTAACTAAGTTTTGAAAGTCGCTTGACAAGGGAGACAGAGAGGAAATTGTGATTTTGGTCATTTAGTTAAATTGTTCGTGACTGGTTGGAATTCTTTACCAGTATCACAAGAATATATAGCACTAAGAATAGACTCAAAATTATTTTCTTAAACTAAGGGAATGATTGGAACCTGTAATATCAGAACCTTGCTATCTCCAGTATTACAAGTAGTGATTAATATACAATTATAAAGCATATATATAGTTTTATCATTTTGAGTAGGTCTGTATAAAGATCTTTATGGTCCATTTCTGTTGTTCAGGCTAGCAACATTGCTTAATGAGCATACTAATAGAGTTTTTCCCTATCAAAGTATGTCTTCTTTCAGTATCTATTCTAGTTTTAAGCCATGTGGACGATTTTAAAAATTCCATCTTCATTAAACTTAATGGTATTCTTAGAGAATCAAATACAAATTCTCTGAAACTAATTGAGTTAAATTATAGATCAATTTAGTACGACTGTATTCACTGTAAGGTGTTAGCCCCCCCACTCTTTTTTTAGAGCATGACTGCTTGGGGAAATGAGGCTTGTGTGACTGCAAGGTCCATCCATCTGTCATTCTTCACAGCTAATAATTGTGAACCCATTATGCGGTCAGCAGAAGCAAACCAGATGAATTACATATGTAACTTGGAATTGGCCCAGGATATGTTGCCTCTTGTCAACCTGACAGTGAGGGGAGAGAAGACAATTGGGTTTTGGGTGTAGAGTACCGAATATATTATGGGACAGAGTGAAGTTAGGATAAGCAATGATGTAATGGTTAATGTCAAGGGGGATGATATAGGATTTGTATTCTCTGTCCCTAAGAACTATGTTTCATTAGTTCTTTTACACGTAAACCAATTTAATTTTTTGTTCTTGAAACATTATAACCTGGTATTTAAAGCCTGTATAGCAATATTGATCATGAAGGTTTCTTTTGGTTTTGTGAGAGACAATGGGAGCTCTGCCCTAAAGTTTGTAAAAGCTTTATTGTCTGTTGAAACTATTATTGCTTGTTTAAAGGCAAGACAACATTTTTATTCTAGAGTGGTCTTGAGAAGGAGAAGGCTACTGAAGACATTGAGGATCCCAATGCCTACAAGTAAGAGATGCTTAGATAATGATGAAAGAGATTTTGAAGTGTCGGTAGCTCTTTTTTCAGACCACGTATTTCTTTTTGCCCCCTAAGAGGAGGGAGAAGTTGATCACCCTGATTTAGGGTAATTTCCTTGTTATACACAAAGTTTTTTCAGCCTTTTCCCCCATTTCATCCCCTTTTCTGTGGTAGTAATTCAAATATGGTACTCTAAGTCTTACTTAATGTCAGACTACAGAGACAACACAAGGTTAAGGTCAAAGCCCCATGATGTTAGGACCTTACAAATATACAGGAAGATGATTCCTTTCTAAGTTACCTTCAGAGCCATTGAGTTCACTGGGAGTTTAAGGATGTCGAGGAAATTTAAAAGGTTGCATAACTGTAATCTTTCCTCTCTTCCATTGGGATAACATCATTTTCTTTTTCATGTATTTTCAGCATTGAGGAAGTCAAGCAGAAGAAGGAGTATGAACGGAAAATGAAGGAAGCTGAAGAGAAAAAAAAAAAGAAAAGAGAGGAGTTAATTGCACTGAGGCATGAGTTTGTTTCTCTTCTTCAAAAGAATCAGGAGTTGCCCAAGCACATGCAGCTGCACAGAGAGGTACATGTGGTTTTTATGAGGGTCATTTACCTTTAGTGGCATGTTCTTTAAAATGTTGCTACCCAGTGTGTTGGGGCCAAAGATATCCAACCCTTTGGATTAAGGTAGTTCTTTAAGTATTTAATTTGCTGGGACTCCTGAATCACAGCTGAAGATTTATGCCATTTAAGAAGCATGTGAGAAAAATGTGGTTCTCTGTAGAGATCTGAATAGCTCCTGCAAAAAAGGATTGTGGTGATGTGCGTGGAAGTCTGGCACCTGGGCAAAAATATTTATTACCAAAACCTAGCAGCCAACATAATGTGATGCTGGGTTTTCTGTCTTTCTGCAGCAGTACGAGATGGACCATAGGATCTTTGAGGAGCTTGATAGGCAGACAGCACAGAGAATCCAGTTAGTGCAAAAAGAGCTGGCTTGGGAACGGGAGAAACACTTGATTGGACTGCAAAAACTACGAAATCAGTAAGTACCACTTTTCTTCTACTTTTCCCTCTGACCTTGCATGGGGCTTATCATTTACAAAGTTGTACCTGCTACAAGGAGAAAGAACGTGATTTTTCTTTCCCCCATATAATCATTATTTCTTCTGTTCTGTTATGATTCTGTTCTTCTATTACTTGGAACATGCACAAGAGTATATATTGATATTCGGGTGTACTTACTTCTTTTGAATCTTTGGTAAAAATTCGAATATTCAAATCAAGGAAGTAGCTTCATTCTGATTCATTTCTATATGAAGAAAACTGGGGGTTTGTTTTGAGACTAAGTTTCCCTGTTTTTTTTGCCAGTAAGTTCAGTAAGAACCAAGAGCTCTTATTGGAGCTTTGAAGAACAGCCCCTGTTTTTCAGGCACATTGCATGTCTGTCAGATACTTTAGTATCAGTGCTAACCCAATTTTCCCTAGACAGTTTAAAGTTATGAAATGAACATTCTCAAGAATGCAAGTTTAAGCACGAGGTGTATTTTGGATTAGTTTTCTTAAATCTAAGTATATAGCAAAAGATTAATTCCTAAAAATAAATACGCAATAGAAATAATACCTAATAATAAAAACTCTTTAATCACACTGTGTAACTGGGAAAAAGACTTTAATGAACAAGTTTTTAAACAGTCCTTCGTGGAAGATAAAAGATGTTCTTGTGAAGAACCTGGTGTAAGTTTCTATATTGAGAGGTGTTATTGTGTCTATTCTTGAGCATCTCCATTCCTAGATTGGATAAAAGTCAGCAGATAGTGTCAGATGTCATCATGCAATTACTTACTGATTTGTGAATTTACATGTAATGATTGTATGTGCAATAAGCAAACTACATTATTCATGTCCTTTTTGTCAAGGAAAAATGGTGGGTTGCACCTACTGACAATCAGACAGTTATGTTTAATTTGGCTTTTCAGGTTTCGGAACTCACTGGAATTTGACACTGTTGTTGTTCATGCTATTCAAAGCAATCATCAAATTTCCACCTACAGACTTCTAGCAATGTCTGAGCAATACTGCCAAGACAAGAAACGTCCATCATGGAAGAAGACAGTACTTAAACAGAGATGGCAAGAAGCAGAAAAAAGGGAAATCGATGGAGAGACAAGGCATATGCATAGGGGTAGTTATGACCATTTAAATCTTCTCAGTAATATGATTTCTGTCTTTCATCTCAGTTTGTTTTCCTGAGTCCAAACTAAAGAAATTATCATTAGGTACAGGTAAAGGAATATAACTGTGGTATGTTTGGTTTAGTACCTACATACATAGTAACATACATACATGGTCTTCTGTGTTTAGGTCAATGTGAGCACTTGTTTGAGAGCCTTGTGAATAGAATGTGACTGGGAGTCAAATCAAAGAACATGAATACACTCAGAACATCCACTACAGTGGAACTATACTGATCGAAACTGACTACAGGAGCTGTTCCCAGGTGGTTTCCAGTAGTTGGGACTTCACTGTGCTGCATGGTATTTACCTCTTCACATGTTTTTTTTTTTGGTCCAGATGCTGGAATTTTTGAGGGCAAGGCTGAAGAGCTGAAGACGTCGGAGGTCCGAAAGCCAACCACACATTATATAGAAAGGAAACGTGAGCAAATCAGAAGAACTCTTGAGAAATCTGATGAGGTGAAAGCTAAGATCATGAAGAGGAAGGCAGAGTGGAATGCATTGTGAGTCTTGGACTCTGTGCCCTTTTAGTGCTGCTTCTTGTCGAGGTCAAGTAATGCTATTTAGCTGTCATATGGCACTATAATCTCTCTGCCTGTTTTTTTATGTTCCTAATGGTTGTAATTAAAATAGATGAGTTTTCCTGTAACTCTGTCAAGAGAGCATTAAAATATTTCAGTTAGTTCTGTGGTTCTTCTAAAATATTAGAAAACTTGAGTTCAGCTAGGTAGCTGCATCTTCAGACAGGGAGTAAAAACGTGTCTGAATTGATCATGACTGAGGGACACCTAGACCATTACAGTCAACTCTCAGTTAACCCTACCAGCACCACATAGAGCAGATGCTGTAGCAGATGGGTTAAGTCAGTTGTGCTAACATCACGGCCATTATGTGAGTGTTTGTGATGTGCCTTCACGCTTCATGCTGGGTCTTCATCTTGAGAGGCAAGAAAGAGGGACAAGACATCTTTGAATGCTCGTGGAGGTGCACAAGTTCTTCATTAGGAGATGAGTGACAGCGAATGGGACCAATGTAGAGTTGGAGTACAAGGCTCTTTAAGGTTGTTAAGTGTTTAACAAGGTAGAGTAGGATTAGGTATTCTGTGCTGTGGACTGGTGGAGTGTTGACACACGGCTCCCTGAGACTGAGAGCAGCATGTACTTGTTAAACCCAGAACTCAGTCCAAGTGTAGAGATTTAACCTGTACCATGGCAGAGCTATGTTATAAGAGTTTTTTTTTTTAAAAAAATAATCTGAGGTTTTCGTTCAAATGTGCAACGATATTCTTCTCAAAGTAGCCACTGGCTTCTGAAAGAGGTGTGTGATTCTTGATCCCTAGCTCACCTCCCAAGCCTTGCTGCAGAAATCAGAAGGTACAAAATGACCCTGTTCGTTAATCTATATGCTTTCTGTCTTAAAGTTCAGCTTTGTTTTGTGCCTACCAGATACAAGAGCAAGCCTAGTGATGACTATGAGAATCCCAAGGATGTTGAGGACATCAGAGAAGCACAGGAAAATATGGGATGTTATAAGCTGAAGACTGCCACTAACTACAGTGTCCCTGAACACAAGCGTATGAACGCTGAGAAGAAGGTGATGCAGCTTGCATCGCTGGAAGTATTGGTATGTAAACTGCTTCATTGATGTGAATATTTCCCGTTTTTGGGGAGGAGGGAGGATTGTGTATTAGTCACTGAAGAAATTTTTTGAAAGGAAATCAAAGTGGGTGTGGGAAGAGGCCATGAAGGACAGACTGTCTTGAGTCAGGCTTAGTTACAAATCAGCCTTTCTCTTGAGAACTGTTAGTGCTTCACCAAACTCAAACCTGAATCAATCCAGGATAACTCTCAGCTGGCTCTTTTTAAATGAGAAAGAGAATTTACTTTTTCTAGTACTTCAGCAGGAAGTCTTCAGCATCTGTCTTTTTGAATTCTTTAAAAATCTTATCATCTAGTAACTGATATGTTTTCCTTTAAACACTGTGCTAAATAACTCTTATCATGAAATATCCCTACAAAAACAGGGATGTGAGCACGGATAGGTGTTTCTAGTATGGCCTCTCCATATTTGCCCTTCGGCAATCACCGCTTCTGGGTACTAAGCGTTGGAATCTTCCTGAGAAACTGGGTCTTTTGGAGCCGCCTTTCTGTGGACTGTTACAGCTACCACACGTCATTTAACCACAAAGACACAGGAAGCTCAAATGTGCATTATTTTTGTTGCTTTTCTTGTGACTTCCTTCCCCTCATCCTTCTTCTCATAGGAACTGTTTTTCATTTTCTTTGGCTGGAGTGCAAAAGAGTGACAAATTTCTTCAGCTAAAAGAAAAATGAAGAAATATGTCCATGGAACTTGGAACTGCCTAGTTGCTTTTTGATAGGAAAGCTTATTTCTTGCTCTGCTTACTGACAGAGGAGCCTCTTCACTGCATGGTTTATCTTCGTCTGGTGAAGTATAAGTTATACTCTCAGTGGCCCTGAATCTTCTCCAGTCTTATCCTCATGAACCAGTTGCCTAATCTTAGGCACCCGCTAGGCTGGGTCGCTTTGACAGCAAGGTCTAAGCATTACAGAAGCAATGCTACAGTCTCAGAAGATTTGTTGGATTGTTTTAATATCATGCCTGGGCTCCAGTACTTCATTGTAGTGCTGATGTTACCAGATACCCAGTCATTAAACTGACTCAGCAGGACAAGCCAATACAAAACAAGGGAATAGTTCTTGTTGTAAATTCCAGGTTTATATAGATTAAGAATTCCAGTTACTTCAGGTGGCTGGTGTATATGATTGTTTTCTTTTATAAAGATCAGAGAAGTTTCTGCCAAATATATTCATGTTAAATCACATTTGATTATTATTTCATGTGAAAAGAGTAAATTATTACAACATCTCCTTATCACAGAAGCACAGAATGATTGAAGTTGGAAGACACTTCTGATTCTAATCTAGTCCAAACCCTCTGCTCAAGGGCAGCCATCTAGACGAGGTTGCCCAGAGCTATGTTCAGATGGCTTTTTAATATCTCCAAGGATGGAGCCTTCTCTTCTCCATGCTGAAGTCCCAGCTCTCGCAGCCTTTCCTCATATGAGAGATGCTCCAGTTCCCTAATCATCTTAGTGGCCCTTCACTGGATTCTCTCTGGTAGCACCATCTCTCTCTCGTACTGGGGAGCCCAGAACTGGACACAGCACTCCACATGTGACCTCGCCACTACTGAGGAGGGGTCACCTCTCTTGACTTGTGGCAACACTCCCTGATGCAGTCCAGGACAATATTAGCCATCTTTGCCACAAGGGCACATTGCTGGCTCATGGTCCACTTGGTGTCCACTAAGACTCACAGGTTCTTTTCTGCAAAATTGCTTTCCAGCTGGTCAGCCCCCAGCATGTGCTGGTGCATGAGGTTTGTTCTCCGCAGATGCAGGACTTTGCATTTCCACTTGTTGCACTTCATGAGATTGCTGTCAGCTCCTCTCTCCAGCCTGCCCCTCTGGACGGCAGCACAACTCCCTGGTCTACCAGCCACTCCTCCTAGTTTTGTGTTATCAGCAGACTTCCTGAGGGTATACTTTGCCTCATCATCCAGATAATTAATAATGTTGAACAGAGTCATCATTTCTGATATTCAGAATTATTCCTGAGGTCTGCCTACAGGCCAAGCAAGATGCAAACAAGTTGTTACAAATAGGTTTTGCTGCACTTGGCTATTTAATTCCCACCTCTGACATCTGATATGTGTCACTTTTCAGATTAGTGAATCTTCATCTTGAGTTGAATAAAAAAATATTCAGCTGATGCCAAAGTTTTCTGAGTTGACTTTGGGACTCTGTATTGCTGGAAGGCCTGGAAAGAATTTGTTTTGGACATCTAGTGACTTGTATGAAATCCAAAAGCATCTGACAGATTGTTGCTTTCTTGCTTTTAATATTGCTATCTACTATACTTTGAAAATTCACAACTTTGTTCCACTTCTAATCGCCTGCAGTAGCTGTGATTTCAGCTTCACCATCACATATAAAAGCCAATAATCTCATCTGCCTTCCAGAACCTACGTTTATGGAGGACTGCTTCAGTATCTTTGAGGTTATGTGAGGTAACAGCTTTATTTCAATGACTGTCAAAGATTTCTGTGCAGCTATGCATTTGGTAGTATGTAGAGTAAAGGTCCTCTCGGGTATGTTTCTTTTGTCTTGGGGATGGAAGCTTGCTTTACAAAATACTAAAAGAAATCTAATTTTCTTTGTGTTAGCCTATTATTTGTATGATATGCCTGAAAAGAGGGCCATATATCAAAGCTGAGATACTCTCTATATTTCATGAGACAGCCCAAATGACTAATCCTCTAAAACTCACAGCTTATTTTCACAGCCTCTGTCTGCTTTCTGTACTGCTTCAACATCTCATGTCAGAAAACTTACGATCAAGCCAGGAACTGAGAGAATGGGAAAGCCTCGTTTCCCTTCTTACATTTCCTTTCTCACCTTTGCTATTTTCGGTGAAGGAGAGGAAGAGAGGTGGTTCCAAAGATTTTAAAACCACAAACTGAAAGACAGCTGTTTAAAAATGCTAATGTGTGGAGATGGTACAGAAAAGAAAGCTAGTATGGAAAGAAGGAAAGTCAGCATGACAAGCCTCTTAACCGTTACTTGTGTTGGGGAAGACTACATACTATGTAAGTGTTCCTGGGGAATCCTACTAAAATTGTTCTTCCTTTGCAGATCCATAAGAGGAAAGTGAATATGAACAAAGAGATCATGTCTTTGCGAGATCTCAAGGTTTCTATTATTGATGAAATCAAGTGTTTAGTACAAGAACTGAAATCCATACAGGCAGCCTTGGATTTATCAGAACATCTTCCTCTTCCTCTGATCCCTCACTTACACCCAGATGAGGTTCCTGAAAAAAAATTTGAGTATGACACCGACATCCTCCTGAAGTTCAAAGAGGAACAGAAGGCCAAGGCAAAGCTCCAGGAACAATTGGAAGCGTCTCCCTCATCTCATGCATTTAGGCATGGGTTTCTTCGAGCTCCTTCCATTAAAGAGATTGACCCCCTGGCACAGGCTGCAGGTGCACGCCTGATGAAAACAGCATCGTCTGTGGTCACAGAGCAGCAAAAGGTTTTTGAGATTGAGAAGGCAGAGCCAACAGAAATGGAACTGGAAATTTTAAAGAGGGAGAAGATAAAAAATCTGTACTTGCAGGAGAGCTTGATTAAAAAGGTAGGAAATCAAAAGTTATTTTCGTCAGATTGAACAATACCACAGCATCAGAAATAGAAACAAAACCCCTTGCATCTCGGGACTGCAGCTACTCTCGCCTTTCTGAAGTTCAGAAAAATACTATCTGGTGCAAATTTACAGTGTAAATCAGTATAAATCCCAAACTGTGACCTGTGTGCTGACTGTTGTCACTTGAAAAACAAATCTTAGAATTTTTATTGATTGTTCTATGAAACTATGTGATTAGTCCCCCAAAAAGGCGAGTAAAATGTTAGAAATTACTTGAAAAGGGACGAAGAGTTAAAACCCAGCATCACTACTACTTTGTAGATTCATGATGTTCTCAGCTCTTAAATAACTGTAGTCCTGACCCTTTGGTATCAAAAATGATTTTGTAGAATTAGAAAAGGTATAAAAGAGAGTAACGGAAATGCTTAATCATGGAGAAGCTTCTGTAAAAGGCACATCTAAATGAATAAAGCATCCTTGGCCTGGAAAGGGGCAATGGAAAGGGTTGTAGCAGAGTTGATAAAATTCTGAATAGCATAGAAAGGGAGAGTGGGAATCATCTCTTAAAAGAAGGAGAGATATCAGTGAAATGGTCATGTAGAAAGCTTGAAACATGCAAATGGAAATAGTTTTCCTGTCCTACAATAACTAAGATTTGGAACTCAGTGTTAGGATGTGGGGAAGCTACCATTCAGTAAAGTCTGGAAGTAAAATCCATTCAAAGCTGTTGAACACAAACATACTGCTTCATGCTCAGGACGTCCCTCAGTCAGAGTTCAGGAGGGTACAGAGAGGAGCGTGCCAGAGGCGTACCGCAGTTCACTCATTTGCTCCATTTCTTACTGTCTCTTCCCTAACTTCTGCTATTGACCGTTAACTCTTTGGTCTGTGCCAACACAGAGACATTTGTCTTCATGTGTGCGAAGGTTTTGAGAGAATATCCCAATGCTGCTGTGACCGTTGCATATATATAAGTTAATGTTGGCAGCTGCTAGGATAGATTTCACTGGAAATGTCTAAGGGAAGAGCTGGCAGGTATGCTGACAGAAGTCAGTCAAGGCAAAAGATGTGTTTATTGCTATGTCTGGGATTCTTACATGAACTACGTTAGGCTACTGTAAAATATTTTCTGAAGAGTAAAATACTTCTGGAGTGGAGTGGGATGTAGTGAAACACTCCTGTGAAGCCCTGGTGATTCTTTTACTATTTGAGATTGAAGATTGAAATGCGTCAGATTGAAGACGCATTTAGGGTTAACTTCGTCTTTCGAAGTGCTTCAGTAATCTATAGTAAAGAGCATGGGTGAGCTGTTGATTTGGCAGAGAGAGTTTTTCCCTTCTGCTCCCTTCTCTAGCTTTACATGCTCAGCTCCACTCCTGGTACTTTCCCAGTTCCTCATTTGACTTTTCCGTGTGCTCCAGATCAATGCACTGGTGATCAACTTTGATGCTGAGCTTCGCTTTCTGCGGCACAAGAAGCTGAAGCTGGACGTGGAAATGAAAAGTGCTGACCTGCGGTACATCACATGGTATGAAGAGCTGCTTATCCTGAAGAACCTTGAGAAGCACGAGAACCTTCTCCATGGGCGTCTTAACACTCTCATCAGTGAACAGGAGGCCTTGCAAGTAAGTAGGCCACGTGTCTCTGGATTTAACAGTACCACTAATGCATGGCTTGGAACAAAAGCAAGCCGTGAAGTAAATGGTGGCATCTTTTTTCCTTCGTTTTAGCACTGACCCAGTGTCTAGTGCTAAATTTTGGAAAACAAGAAACTCTTGATGATCAGCCTAGGAAGGTCACTTTTAACTTCCAATAGTTAATCTTTTCATAATCTTAACAGTTGTATTTTAATAGGGACTTCATGATGTGGAAGAAGTGACAAATCATATACTTAAATTTAAGAACATACTTCTAGGTTTTCCTTGATTGAAGCATGGGTTTAAAGAGAGAAAGACAAGTTTTGCATTTCCATATCTTCACAGATACATCCTATACACACACATGTGGGTTGTACCTTTTAACTGAAGTAGATTTTTTTGTTTGTTTAGTCAAAATTGAAGAGCTACCTTGCACAGATGGAGGACAGAAAATGTGAGATTGTAAAGCTTCAGGAATGTGAGAAAGCTCTTTATGCCAGCTTCCAAGCATCCCTTGGAGAAAATAATGAGTTTGCCCATTTTCTGACCAAGGTTCTGAAGAGGAAAATCACATGCACGGAAAAAAAAGAAGTAGGAGGAGAAGCAGGTTGGAGATACTGTTCTTTTTGGTTTATGGGTTTGTTACACATACTTCCATGTGGTCAAGTAAATGTCGTTGGACGTAGCTGGAGCCCTGGGTACATGCCACACTGAACTCAGTTCAAAAAAATGGAGATCAGACCTACCTAGATTTGTTTATATAGCGCCCTAGATTTGTTTATATACTGCCCCATGTTCTGTGGCAGCCATCTTGGTGTAACTCAGTCTCTCACATGACTACATTGGGTCTGATTATAGCTCTTGCAATTCACTTCCTGTAAGTCAGTATTGAGGACTGATAATTGGTATGAAGAAGAGGCAAAGCTTTAAACAGGTACTTCCTATGCTGTAGCAAGGAGAGCTATGGATAAGTGATTAGTCTGCCACATTCGTGACATTCTTCTTTAATCTGTCCATTGACTAATAAGAGATCGTAGACCTAATCCGCAATCATCTATTAGTCACAGGACTAAACATGAAAGGATTTCATTTATCTTAGTGATTGCTTTTAAACTGTTAAGGCTAGTTTTACTGCGATAAAAAACTTGTGCTCTTTCTCTGACTTGGCTTTTGATTTCAAGTGGGACATGATTAGCAAAAAAACGCAGACAACAGTGATGCTTTTGTGACCGTTTTGTGCCTCCGTACTTTGCTTGGCTGATTAATCTGTGGTAGAATGGTAAACCCACAAGGTTTAAATTCCTAGCACGTATAAAGAGAGGAAAGATTATTGAAGGAAGTCCCGAAAACATGCCAGTGTCTGTGCCCTTGGTGCTACTAGGTGGTCTCTCTCCCTCATTTTTTTTTCTTCTTTTTTTCTTTCTGTTAAATTACCAGATCAATGCAATAGGCGTAAGGTGCCTGAATTCACATATTACCAGGATGATCTTTCATGGATTATTGAGATTGCGTTCACCAGCATGTTGGCATAATGTACAGCTGGTGGGTGTGGGGGTGTTCTGCTAGCCAGCAGTACTGTCCTTTTCTTTCAGATGAAGAAGATGACAATGAAGGGGAGAAGGATGAAGAGTCCAGCTTGGGGATTGATGAAGAAAATCCTGGATGTGAAGAGGAGGACTTTGATTACTCTGTTTGTCCAAAAAGTACCTAAGCCATCATTTCCTTGGGTTGACTACTTGTTTAGCTTTAGGGGCAATATTGTGTGTCTAAAAAGAAAACACAGAATTTTTCATTATTCACTGCATGTTAATGCTATTAAGGGCCAGGATGTCTGTACCCCTCCTGAGGGCAGCATTTCTCCCCACGAAACCTCAGCGAAGATAATGAAACCACTGGTAGTAGAGGTACCCTAATTAAAAAGTTTGGAAAAATAAAACTTAGCTAAGCACTAAGAATTAATTGTTTTGTCTAAAGAACCGTTTCACTGTTTTCTGGAGAGAAAAAGTACCTCAGGAGCGGAGCTGCAGTAAGACTGTAGCTGGTCTCTGGAAACCAGCTGCCTGGTCTACCTGGTGGGGCACTATGAAATTAAGCTCTCTGTTACCACCTCGTGGATTTATGCAGCCATTGCCTGTTGCCAGGCTGCTCTCCTAAGGGTATCTGAAAAGTTAGAGGAGCTTTACTTTGCAAAATCCTCTTTATTCATTCATTCAACAAAGGCAAGCAACTTCTCCCCACTTTCTTTTGTACGAGTTAAACTAGTTTAGGGTGTTGATTTTTTTTTTTTTTAATATCTTTGAGTGATATGTAACCATGTAACCACACTGCTTTATTTTCAGTTAGAACTTACCAACAGATTACCTTATCGTATTTTTTTAAATTGGATTTTAACATCATTTCCGCAAATTGAATTTTTTTATTAGCTTCTCATTCATCTCCTGTTTCAATGAAATGTTAGGAAGAAATGAAGATTTTTACTTTTTATTAAAATGTCCGAATTACTAATTTAATAGGGAAATCAGATGTTGCATTAGCCTCTTTGTATTTGTCTCTTTGTGTATCATTTGTTTTGCCTTTATTGGACTCTTTTTTTTTTTTTTTTTTTTTTATTGTGCCTACTGATTTGGCAATAATTATGTGCTTGATTAATATGATTGAAATGACTGTGTTAGATAGAAATTCACAGATCTTCCTTACCATGAAACAAATGAAACAGGTCCTATGAACTGCAGCTTTGTTTACGAATAGAGCTGTAAATGATCTCGACAGCAAGTTCATCATTTATAGGGAAGGGTGCTATGGATAAACAACTACGTCTTCTCTTAATTAAAGATTATACTGTAACATGTATTAATTACTGGGACTGCATTACTTACAAAAGCCAACTTTTGAGCACTTGGCTTTAATATTGGCTTTGATGCACTTAATTTTACTTCTGGAAACAAACTGTCTTGACTGAATGTAAAGGAAAAAAGATCCATCCAAGACATTCACCCCCTCGTGGAGGAACGTGACCCATGTGGTTTATGTTTGAGAAGGCTCTAGGGAGCCAAGAGCATGGTCTTATTATGGGGAATGCTGGCCAATGTGCAGGGTAGGAGAAGCTACTAGCTCAAGCCTGTAGCTATAGTACAGTCACAACGGAACTAAGTTGTTCCTTGACTCTTTCCTTCTCAGACTGCAGTGAGGCACTCTTCCAAAATACCATCCAGCTCCGGGAGAAGCGGTTAGACTTTGAGAAAGCTTTGACAGAGGAGATGAAAATTGCTGCTAAACTCAGAAAGAAATATGATGCTTTGGTCAAAAAGGTATTGTAGTGTTTTCTTCTCAGCAAGCATCAGCTGGCTCCGTTACAGTGAAAATGTTGTGCTAGTGATTTTGGCTAAGATTCAAAACCAAAATCCTAACCTTTTGAGGGGCCTCAGTTTGGGTAGAAATATCTGTGGTAGCACAGAGGCAGGAGGCAGCTCAGCATGGGTCACCTGTTCTCATCAAGGTGGTCCGGCTTTGGGTGCTATGGGGCTGGATCCAGTTTTGGTTTAGGTCCAGTACCTTCCCAGCTGTCTAAGCATCATGCAGTAGCAGAAACTGGATTCTCTGGTTGTGATGAAATCCCTGATGTAGCCTGGCCTGTCTTCCGTGCATGTGTATGAGGATGGAGAGATTAAAGAATACTTATCCTAGCACAAATGCAGGTTAAAATAAATGCATAAAAATGCTATTCTTCCATGTATTTCTTTTGCTTTTAGTTCATTTCTTTTGCTCTTTGTCATAGTAATCACTGAATAAACTCTCTTGGTGCAAGTATTCCTTTTAGCTTTTTTGAGCTCCTGCATTCATCAAGACATTTGATTTATATTAATTGAAAAATATCTTAATTGGAAGGGTTATCCAGGATAGAGTTCTGTCAAAATAACATTGTGCAAGTCTGGCTTTTATTGTGTCTCAAAAACGTTCCATCAAATATGCTTAACTTACAACATTTTTGTTTAGTTTTTAAAGGCTTTCCTGAGTGCCAGCTGCCACATATTCACCCTGGGGTCTGATATTTGAGTCTGAATTGTTTCTTTCTCATGCAGAATCAATAAGCATTTCCAGGCATAACACAATAAAAAATGTCTTGCAAGCTCTGTAGATCTAGAAGTGTTTTAGACACTAAACTAAGGAGTTGTCTCTTGGTACATACAGGGCTTCTCTACTAAGGAGACATGTGTAAGTGTACATGTGTACAGAGGTATTCAGGTTAGAATCTTGCTTCACTATGTAGATGAGCCTTGTGTTTGCCTATGAAACTCATCTATCATAGTATGTAAAAGAAACAACAAACAAACCCAACTTTTTTTTCTATACTACTTTCCCTTTGGATCAGGAACTCTAATACAAAACCTTGCTGCCTTATGTATTTCAGTACTACAGGATTTTTGTTTGTCCACAATTTGTCTTTCTGCAGGCAAAAGTAGTGGAAACCAGTCTGGAAACCACAGACAAGGAACTGGAGACCTTTCAGTGGGAAAAGCAGCAGAGATTGAATGAGCTATATGTAGTTGTGCCTTTGAAACTCCATCAGGTAATTCAAGATGTTGTGCATCTGCAGGTGCTGAATGGCCTATGTACATTTAAACAATGATGTTACTGTTCTTTGGGGCCCTTAGTTCCTGATTCACCATAGTCTCCTGGGAGTGGCGTGTCATTAATTGAACTTCATGCTGCTATTTCCTCTGGGTTATTTTTCCTTCTCTTATACTTTGAGAAAAGAGGAAAGGACAGGCAGGTTGGCTTATTGCTGAAATGTGCAGCCTTCAAGTGTTTTGTAGGTTTGGCATGGGATTTTCCTTCAGGTCCATACCTACTGATACTCTCCTGGGAAAAAAACACCCCCAAAAAAAAACAAACCAAAAAAGCCTCCGAACTATTGAAACTAAAGGGAGTTTGCCCAATTCAGTAATGCTGTGCTAGATGCAATGCATTCACCTACACAGCTGTTAGCACAGGTATGATAAGTAGAAAACGAAGAGGAAAACTCAAGACAATACTGCTGTTTCTTCTGGGCTGAATCTTGTCCTCAGAGAGTGAAGATAGGCCTGTTCTGGCTTATATACTTCTGAGGCACGCTCAGCTCTCTCCATTTGCTCTATCTCCCTTCGTTACAAGGTTCGTAACAAAGACAGAAGAGTCTAAGGCCTGACTATGCAATCCTGCAGCTCCCAGATCATTCAAAAGTACAGATGACAGGGAGTCCCTTACTCCCGCTTTGTTCCTGGTGCCATAGAAGAGTAGACAGCTTTATATGTAGGCAGTCACCACAGCTCTGAGTAGTCTTTGGGCTTTGCTGAGCAGTAATGATTTCCTGGCCCCAAATGTGAGGGTTGTGCCCATGCTTACTGTTACCTCACTCACTAGTTCTCTAACACTTGCACATTTGTTATCCAGAGAGGTGGCCATCACCCTTTATAAGTAAAGTCAGCTTTGCTTATGGCTGTGTCTCGCAGGTGGAGTACTTGGTTAACGGGGAGATGCCCAGTGACTTCTCCCAGGCTTTGGTATTTACCAACCAGTCCTTAGAGTATCTGCAGAAAAGAATTGTGGATCTGCGTAATGAAAAGATAATGCAGAGAGAGATCTATAAGAAGGCCCAGGAGCAACATAAGCAGCTCGTCCAGGACAAAAAGGAGATGGAGATAAATATCCGACGTGAGTAACAGAGACTCTGAACACAGCATGCTAATACTCATTCTGTCCCCCTCACTGGCTGTGGGTAACTCGCCAGATGTCTGTCTTTACACTTACACAGATGTCACAGCTGGTTACTGCAGAAATAAAACAGAAAGAGCAGATCAAGTGGACTGTTTTGATGAAGTACTGGTAGTTCTCCAGCACTGCAGAGTCATTAGCTGTGTGAAATAATTTGGGAACTTAGTATAAGGAGAGTTGACTGAGATGAGACACTTGGAAATCAGGACACATGATTGCTATTTCTGGCTGTAAACCAGAACTGCTAGGAAAAAAGTACTTTCCCCAAAGCTACATAAGGTTTTTTTTTTTGGCAATTCCCTCCTCTGTGTAACAAAAGAAGAATGAAACAAGCCCTCTTTGAAACGCTTTCCCAAGGACCAAACCCAAAGATGTGTCTAGCACCAGCAAACCTGCGAAGGCCCTGTATAGCCTGTGCTGTGGGAGTGCCTAACTGGGACTGGCTTAGTGACCACACAGACACGGTCACGGGCAAGGACAGACAGCAGTATTCAGCTGTGAGCTCTGTGTGGTTTTGTGGGAATTCTGTATTACAGAGCAAACACTGAAGAGCTCAGACAAAAAGCTGGGGCAAGGCAGAAATTCTTGTTAACCAATGAAAGACAGTGCTGCCATTTGTGCCATCCCCCTTCCTTAGGACTGGAAGAGAAGTGCAATCATCTGATGATGAAGAAGTTTGGCCGTCTGGTTGATTTTGAAGCCGTTCAAGCACACTCTGTTAACATACGCATGGAAGAGTTGGAAGTGCAAATAATGGAGAAGGAATACGCGCACTCCCAGGAGCTCAAAAAGTGGGAGGTAAGGAGCAGGAAAAGGAGGAAACGTGTATGTTATGATGAGCTGTTAAGGCTTCATTTCCCTGGGGCTGAATGGTTACACTAAAATCTTTTATGAACGTATTGCTGTTTGAATTTTTTCACTTGTCATTAATAGACCAAAATGTCCAACTCTCATTTCCCATCATTCCTACCTTTGCTCCATTTGCTGACGCACATCCTGTTTTCTCGTGGAGGTAGTTGATGAGCTTTTTGTTTTACTTTCCTCAAATGCATCCTTCTACTTCAGTCCCTATGTGAAGCTCTCCCAGAGTGCTTTCCGTTGGTTTTCTCAGCTGGCATTCGGCACCCACTGCCTCCTCCCACCGCCTTTGGCGATAGACTCTTTGGGTACAGGGCAGCCCTGGTTCGTGCCTGGGATGCCAGTCCATGTAGTCTATAAAGTTCATGTCTCTGTCTGCAGGGCCTGAGGCTCAGCTGCTGTGGTGCTGGCAGGTAATGCTGCCCTTACAGAAGGGCACAAATGGAAGTACTATATACCTGATGGCTTTCTCTTTCCCGCTTTTGCCTCGCTGCTTTACCCAATTAGGCATTTGTAATATTAAAAAAAAAAAAAGACGATGACGAGATTGCACTAAAGGTACTGTGGGATCAGGTGGTGTATGCAGGATCAGTCTGTTGTTTACCTCTCTTCTGACACTTATGTCATGCCTAGCACTTCCTCCCCACATCACAGCTTTTGTCCTCTCTCATCCCAGCTCAACCTTTTACATCTCTCTAGGAAAGAATCTCAGCCCTGCAGCAGCAGCTAATGAAGCTGACAAAGGAAAACACCAGCAAGCTGCAGCAGCTGAACCGGTTCTGCCTTGAAAAGCAGCAACTCGACACTAAGCTGGATTCACTGAAAAATGATCTGGTAAGTCTTTTAGGCACTACTGCAGGCAGGTTTGGGACCGATCAGAAATGAGTAAGTGTTCGTCTAGCCCTCACCCATCCTGCTCTGCAGGCAGCGGTTTGGGCTAATACTGCCGTGTGGCACAGGCTGAACGGCTGCTCCGAGCCTTGTGGAAAGGGAGATGAATGAGGTGATCCTGAAGTAGGCCATACCATAGCTTCTCTGCTAATTTCTTACTTAGCATCTTTCTAATATTGAAACTAATTCATCTTATTTCTAATCAAAAAACATCTTGCAGCAAGTCAAAATTATTCCTTTGTTACAAGGAAAGAGCCAAATGAATTAAAGTGTTTTCTTTGCTCTGTATTAGGGAATAATGCAGCTACCTGTGACAGTCTGTGTCTAAGTTAGTGGCCCTTTGCTCTGACTTCCAAGTGGTTCTGACTGAGGAGTGGAGAAGTCATGAAGCTGTCCTGCCTCTTGGAAAGCTTCACCTTCCCACTTGAAGTAAATTTCCACTGTTCATTCTCCCATGTTTTATAGGAGCTATTTTTTTCCTCTCCTTACAGGGAGTAGAATTTCAGGGCACTCGAACTAGTGACATCAAAGAGAAGGCCAGGCTGGAGTCACGTCTCAAGCACAAGGCTCATGACACAGCCCTCCTAAGAGAAGAAATCAATCTTTTAAGCAGAAAAGATGGGTGCTTAAGAGAAGAACTCGCTCTCCTTAGCAGAAAAGATGGGTTCCTCTTTCTACAACCTTCATCACCGCAGGACTCTGAGACACCAACTGTATCGCTCCCTGTTCTTACACCAGAAACGGTAACTAACAGTGCAAGTATCTCTTAAAAATGGCCATGGTTAACTGTGGCAGTAGTCATACCTGGAAGTGGGAAAAGAATTGCTTTGGCTATGCAGGGGTTTAGTTGTAAAGGGTTATATGTTTCCCTGATCAAAATAGCATTGTAGTGACAGATATGGAATAAAAAAGTGCAAATACCAACAGTAAATGCTGTTATTGGTCCGTTGCAGAGATCTGCACTGGGCAGATGCTCTGGGGTGTGTGCACACATGTATATTTGTACTTCACGTGAGTGGCTTTGGAAGGCTGGATATGAGTTTCACATGGGCAGATCTAGCCCGTTACTCAAAAATGGCAAGCGAGGTCTGCCTTAAGGGTGGGGTTTTGTTGTTTTCTTGAACATCCTAGCAGCAATGGCAGTTCTCTGAGCTAGTTAGTCATGGTAAAAAGAGAAGGGAAGTGCTATTTGTTTGGAGGAAGCAAAAGGACCTTTCTCCTCAGGGCCTACAGTGCTCAGATGGGTATGGAGCCAATCAAATACTTTCCCACTTGCCTCTGCTCTGTAGCAGTGGGAAAACTGCACTGCAGCGTGGGACGTGGACTTTACCCGGCATGAGGAGGGTATAGCAAGTGCAAAGTCAGGCCATAATTCCACTGGCTTGCACCTGCCTGATGAGAGTGAGACAGCCAGGTTCTGTATGTTTTCAGGTCTTACTCTTTTTTTGCCTCTGGCATTCGGTCTGGTGGCAGTGCATGACCATTTACAGCACTTACCCTGTCTTAGCGTGAAAACTTCCTTCAGCCCCAAAGCAGAGCGGTTGTGTTGCACTGTTCTTCCAGTGCAGAGTTTCTGAGGGTGCACAGGGATGCTTGGGGTTTGTTGCTGATTTTTAATTAAAAATAGATTGATTTTTAATTAAATAGATTGAACAACCTGCAGCTGCTCTTGCTCCTCCTCCCCCCTCCTTGCTTTTTGCCACTTGTCCTTGCTCCTCTGGCCAACATATGCTCAGCCAGGATCCAACCATGTCCCAGCCAGGCACAAGAACTGCCCCTGCTGGCCCCAGCACAACCGAATGGATGACACTTGTGCTGCCTGCCTTTTCAGTGGGTCCCTGTGAAGGTGCTGAGCATCCTCTGTTTTCTTAGGGAAAATAAATGACCTTTATCCACACACCTGGATGCTGAAAGCTTTGGAAGCTGGAAAACCACAGGATGGGGGATAAGGAGAAAAGTTTGCAGAGATCTGGGTGTCTGTCTGCCTCCTCCCCATCACTAAACTGAGGCAGCCGTCTTTGGAGATAAATGAAAATTTCTTCTAGCTGTGCTCCTCACTACAAGTTTTATGTCACTTAACTGGCACAGGTGGTGGCTGCCCCTCTTTTCCTGAGCTCAGCATTTAGAAGATGCACAGGAGTGGCTATTTGGAGTACTGTAACTGCAGAAAACATCACCTTTTCCCAGGTGTCCTGGTTGCTGTGGTGTGTGTGCAAGGAAAAAAGAGGTTCGTTCTATGGCTGGATTTAGCATGCAGCCAGCCACAGAAAAGACTAAAGCCTTTATTTTAGCTGTTAAAGCGTGGGTTTGCTTTACAGATGGTGTGTGTGCGAAGGTTGTTTACGTTGAGTAGGCAGAGTGCATAACTCCAGTCCGTTCACAGGAGTGTGTTCCTGGGACATGCCTTCCTCTGGGAGAGAGGAAGAGACCTTTTTGACAGTTGTCTTTCGTGAAGCCTCACTGCAAGAGGCTGCTGGACCTTGGTGGTGGCAGCTCTGTTTGGACCCGTGTCCTGCGACGTCTCTTGTGCTGCTGTTTCAGTCTTGTGCTCTGATGAACAGCCCGGTGCCACAGAGAGCTGCTGCCTTGTTTCTTGGTCTCTCCTGTGACCTTGGATGTGATCTAAGGATGCCTGCTGTCTCCATAGCATTATAAAAAGGCACATATACATCTATATACAAGTGCATAAATATATAAATAGGGGTGTTATACAAAAATAAATACCCATTCTCTTTTTCTCTTTAGAATAAGTCTTTTGCAAAAGGCAGCTTGGTCCCTAGCTGGTGGGAGAATGAGTCTCTAAAGGCCTCAGTGGTGGTGGGCTGTCGTTCAGATGTCTTGGTAGGTCCTGACCGAAAGATGTGACCACTGGATTCTGCAGATGGAGATCTCCTCTGGACTGGCAGCAATCTAGTCTTTCTACCTCTTCAACTGGAACTAGGCCTAGGCAGCAAGGGCTTCCTGAAAGGGAGAGGAGCAAGAAACGATTACAATAGATACAGAAACGAGAGATGGTGTGGCAGCTTTCTAGTCGACAGTCCACTTTATGAAGACAGGTACTCTGACCAAAAAGGAAGAACTGCATCCTAAAAGTCCTGGCTCTATGGGAGTTTGATCCCATGCTTATACACGATGAGTTCAATCCACACTGTGGATCAATGGATCAGGTCCTAGGGCAATGGATTCACATAATTTTTCTAGAACCTTGTTGTTTTACTGGCAGTCTGGAAGATGCCAAATTCGGAAGGACTAAAGGACAGTGTCTCTGCAACTGGAGGTGAGTATGTGCCCTTCCAGCTGCATACAGCTGAAGCTTTTGTGGAAATGAGAAGTTTGTCTTCTAAAACTGACTGAGGCAATTTACAGTCCCAACTTCTAGTATGGCCTTTCCATGCTGTTGTTCTCTGTGGTATTAAAACTGTCCTTGCACTGCAGAAGCGAGCATGAACAAAGCCATCAGAAAGGCTCTACAGTGAGATTTCCCTTCAAGATCAGCCAAAAACAATGAGATGATGCCAAGCACGGAGTTTTCCAGACCACTGACCTTGGTGGAACAGGGGATCTCGTCGAGCATCCAGGCTAGGGCCTCCCACTTTGTCCATCACTGGATGATGGAGGCCAACAAAGTGCTCTTGAAGGTGAGGACAGTCATCTTGTGGCTGAAGAAGGTGGTGAGTGGAGTCATCTGGGAGACTGTAGAGGAAAGAGCTGTCTTCTGTTCTTGAGTTGGGCAACCTGGAGAGGCAGACAAAGAGGTTTAGCACTATTCACAGATCTTTCCTCCTTGGAAGATACAACCTATGTAACATCTCAGCTCGCTGCATCAATGCAATGACACAAAGCATTCCTAAATGTGAGGAAGAGCAGAAATTGGGACGTTCTTGTGGGATGGGAATGAGGTGATGGGACCTGGTATCTGCAATTCAACATCTGGTGAGTGCCACAGGAGCTGGGAGGAGGAGTGTGTCCCAGGGAGCATGGGAATAACAACTTGATGTCTGAACAGTGAGACACAAAGCACCCTCAGTTGGACCCTGGCTAGATTCTGGGGCAGCTGTTTATCAGCATCCATAGATGTTAGCTTCTCTCATCCTACTTTTTAGTCTCCTGCTTAGGAGCAGGGGGAGGAAAAAGGGGCAAGGAGAAGTAGTCCTTGGCCATCTCTACAATTAAATTATCACTCCCTCAAACCATAAGAGGAATGAACTGTACAAAGATAATTTAGACCAAGGCCTAGTGCTAGAGCATGGACTTGTTTCCCAAGTGAATTGGGACAGATAGGAGCATGCTGAGGGCAAGCTTTTGTGAGGATGTAGTCTCGTGGGCTCCACCAGATTGTTCCACCCTCCCCTCCATAAGCCAGGACTAACCTGGAGGGCTGATAGTCTTGCT